CCCCAGGCCTTCATCACACTATTGTCTGTATCCATGGGTTATGCACATATGCATATAAATTCTTGGTTAATCTCTCCCCCTTGCTCCCCACCCTCATCCACCCTGCCTTCCCTCTGAGATTTATCAGCCTGTTCCATGCTTCTATGTCTCTGGATCTATTTGGTTCATCAATTATTTTGTTCTTTAGATTATTTTAAACAAATGCTTTAAAATTAGCTTTTTTATTTAAACTAGATAATCTGTAAAATATTTTTTATTTTATTTTGTTTTAAAAATATATCTTTATTGATTTCAGAGAGAGGAAAGGAGAGGGAGAGAGAGAGACAGAAACATCAATGATAAGAGAGTCATTGATCGAGCCCGCAACCCAGGCATGTGCCCTGACAGGGAATCGAACCCCGATCGCCTGGATCCTAGGTTGATGCTCAACCGCTGAGCCACGCCTGGCTGGGCTGTAAAATATTTTTTAGACAATACTTTAAAATAATCATTCCCATGTGTTTTTTGCATTATCATTGAGCACTTATCCAGGTTAACACCCTGAATATAGTCAGTATTTTCTGTTGATTCTAATGGTATTTAGTGAATATCCATATTGAAGCAATTGAAATGCTACTTTGAAACAAGTACAGGCCAAAAGCAGAATTTTTATCATTCTAGAAAATTGTATTTATCCCTCTAAAATACTCTATATACTGTTCATTAATTAGAAATGAATCTGTTGAACTTAATAATAATGAGATTACACATACTGAACCCCATAGTAATCTGTAAAGTCTAATCAAGTATCTCTTTGTACTAGAATATGACTTAATTATCCACTATTTTGGGTGGAAGGTAGAGCACCTTAACCTGACTACACATTTGATTAGATATATTACCGGGGTAATTTGGAAATTTTCTCAGTCTGACCCGGCTTTATAAAATGATCATTTATATAATACTTTAAATTACTATGATATTTGACTGAGAGGAAGTAAAGTTCAATAAATCTTGAAAATTATCATCTCTTATAAGTAAGACTTCTGTCTTTTTTCCCCTTTCATGTGATTATATTTATTCCTATTATAGGCTCTTCTTTCTTATGTCCATGTATTAAATGCATTTATTTCCAAGTAAATAAAAATAAATGAATAAATAAATAAATAAATGCATTTATTTCTATAATAAGTTTTAAGTTGTCTTATAGGTAGTTATTATATCTTTCCCCCCAGTTTTCTCAACTATGAAGTGGGGAAAACAAAGGTTGTTGGGAAAATCAAGTTAATTTATGTTGACAAATTAGTACACTATCTTTCCCACAGCAATTTAAGAAATTAAGCTTTGGAATTTGGTCCTTAGTCCATATGTAATGTGACTCCAGTAAAGCAGCTAAGCATGACATGACAGGTTAACATTTTATATAACAAAATAAACTATCCTGTTCAGCCTTTTCACCTGGTACTCCTTCCATACCCTCCAGAAGGTAATGCCAAACTTCTAATTACTCCCCAAATACAACATGCTTCTTTGTAAAATTGTGCCCCTTTTCACATACATTCCTGATTGCAATTTTCCTCTCCCTCCCTTATACTCATTTTCCTTTGCAAAGTACAGTTTTCTTATAGTATCTAGGTCAAAGTATCCCCTCTATGACTCTTTGCTGGTTTAACTCAGACAAAAATTTGCAAGATATTTTTTTGTGCATCTTTACTTGTTTTCTTACATTTGATTGTGATAAACCTTATCAAATTGTAGATCATTAGATTCATTAAATATATTATTATGACTCCTGTTTTTCTTATAAGATTAAATTCTCCTCAGTCTAGAAACTTAACATAGCTAGGTATTACCATAACCTAGCCCAAAGACGGGCATTGGATGATGCTTAACAGGAGTACTGTCCCTGCCACCTTCTGCTCCTTGGTAGATCTTTATTTCTGCTTTGCTCTGCTGTGATTACAAGGCAGGGCTCCAAGCATAGAGAGAGTAAGTAATCAAAAGTAGGTTTCAAGTCAAGTACTGCTTTATCTGTGGCTTGAAGATCTTGATTACCTAGATCTCCACTTCCAGAGAAACATAAAGCTATTCACATTTTTCTGTTGGCTCCAAAACCTTTTAAAATTAACATGTTCCTTCAGAGAAGACCTAGATATCTGTACTCACATATGGTTAAAGAGGCAAACAACCATATTTTCATACATCTGATGTTTTCTTATATGTTACCATAAATTATGGTATAATATATCCAGAGGGTCAAGCACACAGGGACTCTTTAAATTTTTTAATACTATACAAAGGTTCCTACAAGCACACCACATCAATGCTCAAATAAGTGCATTCACATATGAACAGGTATATTTAAATCAGCTTATATTTTAAAGAAAAAGCAAAACACTCAGTTTTACCTAGTACAATACACCCTGATTATTTTCAGAATTATTAGTCTTTCTTCAGGACAGAAATCCAGGACTGGGTGTGGAAGTGGTAGAGAGAGAGGGCAACNTGTTTCTTTATATCTATGTTTTTCATTCTCTTTATTTCTACTTCTAATTTTAGCAGTCCCTTTAACATTTCCTGTAATGCTGGTTTTGTAGTGATAAAATCTTTTAACCCCTTTTTTTTTTTTTTTTTTTAATATGTCTTTATTGATTTCAGAGAGGAGAAGAGAGAGGGAGAGAGAGAGATAGAGACATCAATGATGAGAAAGTCATCGATCGGCTGCTTCCTGCACCCCCCTACTGGGGATCAAGCCAGGCAAACCAGGCATGTGCCCTCTCCTGGATTATAGGTTGATGCTCCAACCACTGAGCCATGCCAGCTGGGCATCAACCTCCTTTTAGAAAATCCATTCAGGAGAACTTTTTATGCCTCACAAAATTTTAGTCTGGAATCTTTCTATACTTTCTATTCTTTCTTATCTGTATAGATCAACTAGTTTGAAGATAAACTACATAAAAAATAATAATAATGTCACTAAGAGAATGTNTCTGTATAGATCAACTAGTTTGAAGATAAACTACATAAAAAATAATAATATTAATGTCACTAAGAGAATGAAATGGTCTGGCAAGTTTTGAAAAGAAAGAAAATAGAGAGAAATGGTTGGCTATGGCTTGTCCTCTTAATAAACAGACATTTTTTTCACCTTGCTCCTAAATTTTCTTCCTCCTAAAAGTGCTGCTTAATCAGGTTTAATGCTGAGTGGAAAGAAAAGCTTTGATTACAGCTTTCTCTGCTCCAAAGCCTGTCTTAGTCAAACAACTTTAATGTTATTTTAGTTCTAATTTAGAGTATCAGTGACCCTATGACCTCTATACTTTAACTAATCAACAGGTATTTACATCAGTTGTGGGAGAAAGTGTCCATTTCACCTTCTTACTATGGTGTATGTCTACAATACTTATTCATAACTTTACTAAGGTTTTTCAAAGAGGTGCACATTACCTTTTTGAGAATCTAGTAATTCTATAAATGCAGATATTTGAATGTAGCCCTTTCCTCTCTTTTCCTGTCTTGCATATATATCAACTCACCCAAATTAAAAGCTGAGATTCA